ATTCCACGTAAAGAGTGAAAGCTCCCTATAAAACAGTCAAAAATGCAACCAAACACAGCTGAAGATTCAGCCTTTTCTATAACTGCCATTTCACATCTGATGCTTTTTTAGCTACAGATAGTAATATACGATGACTGATGCAACTCAATACTTACTGCCATTCATGGCCCAAAGCCAAAGCTACCTTCAGTAAAAGAACCTAAAAATTACTCTGTAACACCCCAAATGCTAAAAGACTAACTTAGGACGTAGCTTACAAAATAAGAAATGTTAGCAAAATGAGACATGGATATTGATTAAAATTATAAATTATTACAGTTAATTGCAAATATACATTATTAGTTTCTCTGCTGCTCCCCAGAAGGTCAGCTTTCTTACTGAACATTTGCAGGAAAGTTTACCACACCAAGCACGTGGAGCCTGTGAAGATGCCTTCCTAGCAGCAGAACGAGGGGATAAATGCTTCATTCGCAGCGTATTTACTGTAAAAAGCATCACTCTGCTATTCGGCGCAGCCATCTTTCGCCCGGTGACTTTTCAGACAAATTACTGATAACTCACCTAATGTTATGACAGAGTCAAACTTGATTCTTCACTTTCCACATCACTTTAAGCATCCTAGCTAAAGCCTGTAATGAACTAAAGACTGTCTCTCCACTTATGGAAGTGAAAACATGAGCGCTCAGAGTCCAGCTGCTTCGCTGCTGTCTTCATAACCATGGCAGCTTCCTGCGTGTCAAAAATATGCCCTCTTTATTCCCTCTTTATAGTGATTTGCCAGTCCTAAGATACTCTTAAAACACATTTTTATTCACTGTGGATCAAGAATCTAATATTTATTCCTTTGCTTCTCTTTAATTAGAATGAGAACAGACCACGATCCATGTAGCCCCTTCTGCCTACAGGGGTAGTGATGTATCATACCAGAGACCCTGAGCAGCCTTAAAGGCAATGTATGGGAGGGTGCGAATGATGTTTGTGGTTTGCTATATTTAGTTTTTTTAAGCAATGATACTGCAGACTCAGGCAAAATTATTTGAAGTATGGGATTAAGCAGAGCTCCAATCAACTCACTCGCAGGACAAGACAAAAAGGACTTGAAAGTCTGGAAAGCGAGGTGTAGTATTATAACCTTGGAAAGCAGAAATGCAGATGGCTGGCGACTGCGTACCTGTATGCACCAAACAGTGGATGCACAAGCATTTCACACCCATCCAAACCCTGGCTGCTGATGTGAATTGGACATGTTGCACATATATTTCACCTGTAGCCTTTTCAAATGCAGGTCAAAGCGATCTCAGAAATGCATAGGCCATTCATTTTACAGATCATTATTTTAGCTATGGATAAATGAATTGCTGCCAGGAATGGTTTAAATCCTCCTTATTCAGAAGGGATAAATTCCTGCAGAGGTAGGAAAAAACTCCCCTGAAGCATTCAGCTGGTTGAAGGATTCACACTGTAGAAGCTGTGGACAGTCAAACGGTGTAAGGTAAATGAGAAGTGTTTGCCAGTGTCAGTATGCAGAATGCACGTAAGCAGGAGGATATAAACTGTGTGGCAGGAAGATGATCTACCCTTCATTAAAGTAAACTGAGCCTATTGCCAGCAGTTCATGATGTGTCCTGGAGAAGAACCAGGGTTAAAATGATGGAAAGAACAGAAAATGGAAAAAAAAAATCCTTAAAATGTCTGGGTTTATCTCTTCACACTATATTTGACGTTACGACCCTTCCTAATGGTAACTTACATCAAATTTCATTTAAAAAAACGGCAGCAGAGTTATGTAATTAGTCCTGGCCTTCTGAAGTAAAAAAACCCAAACCACTAAACCCATAATTCACCTACTTTCAATTAAAATCTTTCCTCCCAAGCATTATTAAGTCACTGTGAAGACCATAAGCATGTACACATGGAACTTCTTTTAGTCACCTGGATGTCTTTGCTATCATCATGCCCAAGTATGAAGCCTGATTCTTATTTTGATTTGTGTTTTTTTTTCTCCTTTTCCTTTAGATGAAGATTATTATTACAAGTGCCTAAGCTTTACTCTACCTTCCAACAGAAAAAAAATAATAAACAGTTATAGGAAAGTGCTCTAAATATGGGGGGTTTTTTAACAGCTAGGAAGAAAAGATAGTTTGGAAACCAAAACATCCTGGAGGCACTTTCTCCATCCATAGTATATTTGATAAATTGACTTTTGCTTCCAGGGCAGGCATTCAGCTTCTTCATTAGTATAATGATCCTTAGTCTTCTCTTCCCAAACTTAGATAATTAAAATGCAAAATAAGTTTTATGAAATGTAGCTATTAATAGTGTCAATAAATTTTAAGTTGTGATTATATATTACTTCCAGTAATGCTATCCCTCTCTACTGTAGATCAAAATATATTTATTCAGCATTCTTAAAATCAAATATCTTTTATCTTTGCTTGACAGAACAATCCAGCGTGCTGTTGAGTACCAAGGTGACTTGAAAGTTTTTCTAATGTGTAATCCCCTTTTATAGTCTGTATTATGTATGAACTCAAAGACAAAATATCTGCATTATCTTAAATAAACTAGGTAAAATGTATTTCAAAAAGTTTCTTGAGTCAAAAAGTAGCAAATCATTGTATGTATTTTCCATATTTGTATAGGTTTCATTATATTCTCATTCTAAGTTATTCTTAACTCTCTTTCATATTTAAAAAATGAACTACACACCTATCATGCAAAATGTAAAGAAGTATGTTCAACTAGTTCAAATTAGATATACAGTAAAAATACACTTCCAAAGAAATATCATTTCCATTTTTGTTCATGTTTTTAACAGAATTTCAGACTAATACATCAAATGTGGAACTGTACAAGTATGTGAAGAAACATTAGGATTGCAGTAGTAAAAAAATGTACAGCATTCAAAACCAACAAGCTCTAAACAACCAAACAATACCACAGGATTGAAACAATCATGGGGACAACATAGGTCATTGGAGCCAGTGAGTGAATCCTAATGCACCTACATAAAGACCCTACATAGAATATTGTCTCTTATTTATATGCAAAATCCCTGATTCGATTAAACCAGACAATTTCTCTAATTGTCTCTTATAGGTTTTAGATAAGATTAACACGAGAGTATTCCCCTTCATAAATGTCAGTTATTTGGAAAGGCAATATTGAAAATTGATTTGAAAGGTATTTCCATCCATGTGGATTCAGGTAGTTAAAATACAAGATCACAAATAATAGCACTGCAACTTTAAAGAACCATTTGAATTGTTATCCGCTACATTTTCCGTAACACTTAAGAATTCAGGATTCAGTTTTTTAAAACTGTTTACAGGTTAATACACAGGGTTTTTAATTATGGGCTGTATCAATGTAACAGTGGACCAACATTGCCTTTTAAATCAAGAAAAGATCTAGCTAAGCATGTCAAAAAAAAAAAAATCTCCAAGGTAATTGACAATGAACAAAACATTACATACAGCAGAATCTCTGTGTCTGAATATCTTTGAAAGGCAGATATGTACTCTTTTACAGTCCACTAACCAGCACAATTTCCTTATTAGACATTTATATTATGAGGAAAAATGCCTTGGACAAACCTGTAACAGTTATTAATTCAAACCAAATTATATTTTTTAATGTTTCATCATTGTGCATAAACTTAATGAAGTACACTAGCTTATTGGTCTTAGTGACCAGAACGTAATCGCTTTCACAGATCTTAGCTAGTTATAATTTTTTTAGGACTATCTTGCTTTTCAGGTAACTCACCTGTGGGTTTTTTTAAGCTGAAGTGTAAAAAAAGGTTAATAAATGACCTAATTATGTCAGCATTTCTATCCCACAGTCCTCATGCTCTGAGATCTCTCACTGATCTCGATAGGAATTTGGCTTGCACAAGAATGGCAAATTTTCAGCTGAGAAAGCTGAATAAATGTAGGGCCTTTAAAACCAAAACATTGTTACCAAAGAGTCTGGCCTACTAAATCATCTTCAATGCACTGAAAAGGGCAAAGAACACGAATCTCAGCACCTATCTTGCTGTTTATTTGGAATAATCTATTAGCAATTTTGATCCAATGGGAACGATGGATTAGTTTTAGAGAGCTAGCCACACACAACTTAACGTTTGACTGAAATAAACAGATTGTAACAGGTTTGAAAAGGAACAACCATATGCATCTTATGTACCACTCAAAATCTATAAAACTACTGGGCAAACAGCATAGTGTATACTCGTTCTTATACATATTTAAACTTTGCTGAGGTATTTCTTTAATTACAGAAAAGCATCTTTAAAAACAACAGGAAAAAACTCAAAATATGAGTTATATTCTGCACAGATTTTTTAGGGAGAAGGAATTCAATTGTATTGAAAGGTCCATAATTGTTAAAGGAATAACCACTCTTATTAGTATCGATAATATCATATTCTTCCTTGGCTTTTTATTCCTTCCAAGCATTACAAAAAATGTAAGGCTGTGACTTTATAAAACATAATTTTGCCTCGACTTTGCCCACCAGTGTTGCAAAATAACCTGAAATACTTCTGCCTTTTTCCTGGGGAAAACCTTACCCAGCGTCCACCTCTGTAATGAACTGATTGTGTTGGATACCCCGCTTGCCTCCTCCATGAAATGGGACAAGCCATCTCTTGCACAAAAGCAAGATTGTTTTCATAAATGCTAGCTGAAGGCAAGTTTCTTTCACGCAGCAAAATTAAGTATAGTTTTTCTGTTTGAATTTTAACATTATCTGATAACTTCTACCTGCACCTAACAGTTATTTATTTCTCTACAGTGAAGATAGCTAGACTGTTGCACAAGCTGGATTTCTCACCCATATATACTTCAGGAACAGGAGGAATGTATACATCATATTTAGAGTTCATCCTAGGCAGGTACTGTGTTTGAAGTGCAGTTTTCTAATCCTTTTAAATACAACCAGCCTATCTTGATTGTGACACTAGTGTTAAATGTAACTGCAGCCATTACCAAGTAGTTTCCATAAGTGGTTTTATTACTGGTTAGATTTTACAAATTCTGGTATTCGAACAGACTTCGACCTTAAAATTCTAAAACAACAAAGCAACCAATGAAAGGCTTAGGACTATTCAAAGTAACAAACTCTTTAACATTTTTGCCCTGGTCATAAATATACAGAGAGAAAAAGAGAGAAGTGGACATGGAATCCAAAGAATGTAGATAAAACAGTATATAAGGCACATGGCAGTCTTTGAAAATACAGAAGCTTTAGCCAACTTAAATTAATTGCTGTTTCCCTTGCTCAGTCCACAAAACTGTACAGTTACACAAATGTTGTGTTGCAATAGATCTTCCAAGTTATTCTTCAGTCCATACTCCGTAATACCAGAACACTACATTTCCTTCTGTTTTTTAGGAGAGATCCTAATCGTGGTTAGTCAGTTGCTCAAAGCCTCTATTAAAATACACTTGGAATTTCAGCTAAGAATAATTTCTTTTTTAAAGAAATTATTAAGAAAGAGTCATCAGAAAAGGTTTGTAAGAGTTGTCTGTGAAGGACTTCGAGATTCATGAACCTCAAGACTTCCGGGCACTGATGTCAAGACAGATGTCACAGTAGGCATAGTAGGATTAGTCAAGTCCGTTAAAGTAGTGGGAGTGCTGGATGGACTCATGGAGGCATTGGATATTTCTGAGGCAGGACCTGATGGGGTCCCTGCTTGGAGTGTTGAGTCTGAAGTCTTATCCACCCCTGTGTTTTCTTGACGTAAGAGGTTCCGTCTGAATTTGGCTCGAGCATTTTGAAACCAAACCTGAAATAGTTTAATATAACAGGGTAGCATTTAAAGAGCTGCAGTGTTTAAAAAAGCAAAAGCATATTCACAAATTCACCAACACTTGAATTGGGAAGATGTTTTTACTGGTAACATGTTAGAAAAGTAGCCCCAGTGATGAGAAGTGTCCTCTGCATGCCTGTAAAGCATTCCTCTTTCCCTCTCCTGCAATCCTGTATAAACAGTCTGCCTGGGACAGGAGTGGACTAAGGACGGAGGACGGGAGTCTTTCTGTGCAGGCTATGTATAAAGATGCTTAGAAATTTGGCAGCCTGCATGAATCCTTGATTGCCCTCAATCCCAGAAGTATTTGTCTGGATGAGGCAGACATCAAGCATCTGATGAATATAAAATAACGAGTTTCGGCACCCTCGTATCTCAAGTCCATCTCCCATCGTAAGCAGCAGGTGACACAGACCACAGCACCCTGCCTCTCTGCGGGCCCTGAGAGCTCTCCCAGGAACTTTCTCATGTCTTGGTGTCTGCAATGCTCTCACTTTTCTAAAAGGACTGTCCCTCTTCCTTACTCTTCTCTTACTCTTCTTTCTCAAATGCTTCAGCTCCCTTCGCCTATGACAGTCTCCTTTTTCAAATGTTTTCAGTACTGGAATGATGTCGGGAAAAGAGACTTGAATGGTGTTAAAGACCCACATTGCATTAAAAACTGTCATTTCAGTAGAAATTATATCCACATACAGAAATTTTTCCAAGATTGCTACTTCTTGCGTTATCTGATTATTATCTATGAGTGAAGGACAAAAGCTATGACTTCATCTTTCTCAGTTAAATTTCAGTGTTTAGGTTCAAGTTAATAATGCTTTCCACTGCCTGCTGGATTTGTTTAAAGATAAAATATTTTTCTGACCTATTTGAAAATAGATAAATAAAATGCATTCGTGAAACTTGCATGAAACCTAGGTACACCATATTACTTTGACTAAACTTGAAAATGTCGTTAAATACCCCATGTTCAACCTGACGTATGTTGATACCAAGTGATTTTACTGCTACAAACCAGCTGAAATTTCACTGTGCTTATTTATCAGAAGGCCTTTGTCATTGTTACATTCTTTACAATGGACTCAGTCTTGATCCTACTGTCCTCACGTTGACCTGCTACAAGGAATAGGACCAAGTCTTTCCATTCCAGATGCAATGAGCCTCATCATCTTTGTATCTGTCGGAGAAAGGAACTGAGCGAGAGAAAGGATCCTCATAGCCATACAGTACCTCCATCAGATTTCTCCTCTGTGGCCTGTACAGGGAAACTGAGTGCGTGGAACTCACGAGGCAACACCAACCTGTACAGAAGTTCTGACCTCTACCTCTGAAACAGCACGGCCCCCGCCATAGGATCCGCTTTAAGCCAGACCACTAACGGAGGAGCAATACATAAATACGAGCAGTCCTGTAAGGCGTTCTCCTTGCACTCTCAGCTTGCCAGCTGCAGTTAGAACTGATGAACATGTCTCAGCTGTTTTTCCTCTGACTGGTTTTCTTCTCATCTGTGGATGCTCAGCCCCAAATCCACCTATTGAGCACTCTTACTTTTTCTCTGGAAAGCTTTCTCTCCCAGCCAAGGGTCTTTAAGGTGCACACCCTCTCTCTCACACTCTCTCCAGGGGATGCCTCGAGGAAGTAATCCTCAGGCACAAATTCTAGCAGTGGCCATAGGATCTGCATTCATGGGCTGTGCATAAATCACATCCCTACAGGTCCCTGTTTCTGAAAGCTCAGTATTTTAAAACAGTTTATGTTGGCATTCCCTTTGTTAAAACACTTGCTTTAAAGGCTATTTGTCTGTTTCATATATGACAAGAAAACAAAAATCTTCTCCTAAACTAGCACAGGTAAAAATACACTGATGATTTTATAACATAGCTCATTAGAGTGGTAAACCCATTAAAGGCCAGCGATGTGGTCAAAATCAGGCAAACCCAAATGTGGTCTTTTTGCCTTACACTTTCACAACCAGTGTCCTCTCCTATGACTGTTCACTCAGAGCCACGCAAGAAGGGAGGTGTGGAACTGTGTGCGTGGGGTTCTGAGCGAGGTGAGGAGCCTTGTGTGCAGGGGATGCAAGTGAAGCAAACCAGTTTGTTCTGGTCATTCAAGCCGCAAAGTCTCAAGCGCCAACTAGTTAGGAATGGTAAAAAACAACCGTGTGAACATTTATGGGATTTTTTTACCTTTCAGTAAAAGATAATTTGTATTCATCCCACAAAGTAATTTGAGTTTGGGTTTTTTTAATATACCTTCTAGCAATTATAAAAAGGATAACACATACGAAGGTGAAATGGAAGCTTAGAGACTGCCACTGTTGATATGTATGTGTACCATAGTTAAGTAATAAAACAGAACAGAAAAAAACACTAGTCCAGTTGCATATACACATACTTCTGTGTAATTTCACACTTATGTTCATTAAAAATATACATACTTATATATGCAGTAGTCCCAAATATAAGTAACATTCCCATTCCTATTCACAAAACAATTTCCTTGTTTAATTGTGTAAAACTGTAGAAGGCACCATAACTATTTTGTTTAGTTACATTGTTCCTAAACGTCCAACTGCTTCTTAACCTTAACAGGGCGAGAGACTCTATGGTATTTTTTCTGTTTGTGATTTGAAACGTAGTATGTAAAGAAAAGTGAGCAGGATTATTGGTGTTTATGTATTCCCCTTTATCCTCCATTAAATATGAAAACCTGTGCTCAGATGCCCTTACCAACGACCATTCATGCTGCCTTCAGGAGCTGCACATATAACATGGTTCATTCTCTCTTTAATAGTGGTAATTCATGTTAGGCATAGAAAATATTACATAACCTTCTAAGTATTATTAAAAAATAGAGCTTCTATGACTACTTTCATTTCCTTCCTCACTGAGATATTGTCAAGGTTAATCAGCTAATGGTTATAAAGCTCTTTAAAATTGTCCAGTAATAAATATTCATATTATTACTGAAAAGACATCTAAATATTTGTTAATTGAAATTCTGAAAATACCTTGTCTTATGATAGAAAGGGATAACATAATTATCGCAATAGTGATATTCTGGTATGCACTTAAGATACGACAGTGTTCAGCAAAGACTTCACGTTGAAGAGTAGTGAAAGAATTAAAACTATTGTTTTCTGGGTTGTAGGACTGTAGGCCTGCTTCTTTACTGCCCCGTGTCGTTACTTATAGCTGCGCAAAGTAGCGTGTAAGAGCGGGCAAGCCAGGGTTGCCCATGCAGAATGGCAGTAGTGCTGTATGCTCACATTGGCAATTCAGGCCCTGCACCTGTAACGGTATTACAGTAAAGTAAAGAAATAATAACCCTGACATACATAACTGAAAGAATTGTTCCAGAAGGACTTATCTCACATCAATTACACAATCAGGAATCTGGTCTTCAGTACTGAGGAACAAGCAAAATCATTGGGAAGTATTTAGTGTTTTCCTGTCCAACTGTATCATTATAAGGCTGAGCTATTTCAAATCAAAGGGGAAAATATGGACCAAAACTCCCACTGAAAAATAAAAGCAGCTGCGAGACCCACCACTGATGCTACCACATTCTGATTAGTGGGGCCGGATGCCTGTAGCTGGGCAACTCAGCAGCTAGGCAGAATAATATTTACTGCGGTTAAAATACTATACTATCTCTTCAGTGATCTGTGCAGCTAACTCATTGTCTCCATCAAGTAAAATAGGAATAAAATAACATCTCCGTATGATAGGGAAGTATTGAAAATATATATGCTTAGTATGTTAAAGGATCTGGATGCTGCGGTGAATGAGATAATCTAATCACTTTCGATAACTTTATTTTCTTGTTTGTAACAAACACCTCCATTGTTGCAACTGTTACATATTAGTTGTATGAATAGCTTCTGCTAGAAACAGATTTTTAAACACAGTTTTCCTCATTCACACAGCTACCTGGAGACATTTAGGTTTACTGGATTTTACTAACTAGTAAGCGGAGAAACAAAAATATAAAAGATGTTGCGCCATAAAGCAAACTACATTCACTCATTGCACACACATTCTGATTACTCTGTTGTAATCAGTAAACACACAGTTAAAGGGGAATTATGGGATATTTCATGACTGAGGGCTTGGTAAAGAGTCTGCAGTATGCTAGCCTAAAGCAAACCTTCACTGAAAGGTAGCGCAGGGTACCCACGCACGATTGTGAAAATTCTTCATGTTTGTTGACTACTGGAAACTGAATTAGCAAAGTCCAAATGCATGCAGTAATCCTCACAGGGTTTTCACAGCAACTTTAGTGGGGAGTGATTCAAGAAAGAATAAGCAGTGTACAAAACCCACTGAAAAGTAATGCTTTATGTTCCTAAACTGCTTTTGCCATGAATAATCATATTCCAGACTCCCACGGATGGAAGAGGTGCATACCTATAGCTAGCAAACAGTATCTTCTTAGGGCTATCTATTTCCACCTTCCTTTTCTAAACTCACAAAAAGGAAGATCAATTCTCAGAAAAGGAACATTTATGCCAGTTAGTTAGCTCACAATTAGCTGGTCACTTTAGCTATGAATGATAGCTTACAATAATGGGTTTGTGTTCCCCAGCTGCAGTACAAGAGGTGTATGAATTAAATTGCAAATATAAAGCTAAACTGGAATGAAAATAAATAAAAATAGGGGTTAAAAATATAAATAGGCTTACTGTGATTCGAATGTGGCTACTTACAGAAAATAGTCTGCATTACAAAGCCACTGAAGGAAATGTAATTCATGAAGCGGTATGTTACATTTCCATGCCATTCCACTTCTGGACATGTGTAGCTGATGACTAATAGTATATAAAGCAAAGACAGAAGTCAGGTCTTCCAAATCTGATATCACAGATTGTTAAGAATACGGTCAAATTCTGTGCTCATCTACAAACAAAGTGCCCTCATTACATGTTATGTGGGACTGCCTATATAGCAAGGGCACTATGGCTGTTTCCTAAATCACTGGGAACTCTACTACGTGTGTTAGGGAAGTACACTGGTTTCAGAACGAGATAATCTGTTTCTCCTGATCTGCTGCCTTGCATTTTCTATTAAAATGTATTCTATTAATTATATACAAAGAGCCACAATCCTTCATCAGCTGAACTGAGATCTGAACATACAGAAAATACAACAGCTTACAAAGACCCCTAATAACAACATAGGGAATGCGGAGGATTTACTACTGGCAAGCATGCACGTACGCCTGGGAGTCCATGCGCCTTTGGTATGTAAGACAGACTAATACTAATGATGCTTGTTTAGATCAATAGTATCAGTGGATTACTTCGTGTTCAATAAATGACACAGACAGAATGCCAACCTTTCTGGCTCAAAAGCATTAACAAGTGACACTATCTCAGTAACCAACATCACGAAGAGTTTTCCCCAGCAAAGAGCATCCCTGAAACTCATGTAGGTGAACTTCAGTGTTTGAAAAATTGCCTCTCACAGGTTAGAGATAAACCAATTGGGCACAAAAATTCTAAAATTGAAAAAAACCCCAAGTTTGTTTTTTTCATGGCCCAAATTAATTTTCAAACAAAAAGTCCAGGACCATGGAGTAGAGTGTGCTCGTAACAGACAGGAAAACTCAAGTGATACTGGACAAAGTGTCACTCTGAGTCATTTTCTTGAATTGCCACTAACAGCATCATCCTCCGGGTGCAATCCTCACCACCAACTATCATCTTCCACCACTCTTCAGCTAAAGGAGACCAGGCATAAAGGAGTATTTAATGGTGAAAGTAAAAGAAGTGAAACACCAATTACCGAAACGATAAAAAAAGTTTAGTGGAATTGTAAGGGTCTGCTACGAAAAAAGAGGAACCACTATGCACCTTGAAACTGCAAGACGTGATATGTTTAAGATGGAAACAAAAGCAATGAAGAAACTGAAAGAGGAACTGAAGTGTAATGAAGATGTGGAGTCCAGTTTTGGAGACAGGGAAATACATTCTGAAAAGGAAGGAAGAAACAGAGATAATAACTTGGAAAAAAGATGGAAGGAAAGACCCATTAGGTGAAAAGGGAAGAGAGAGATGGAAGTCAAAGTTGGTGTGGAGTGAGGAGAGAGAACAGAAAGATGATCAAGAGAAAGACACTTTCTAGACACTGATCTCATTTCTTAATGCACTGTGTGAAATTTCTCAGATAATTCAGGTGTGAGTGCACTGTAATGGGCAGAATAGATATTACTGAAGTGTCTAAACTCTGAGGGTAAAATAAAGGAGAATTATCAAAATAAGGATAGACAAGTGCAGTAAATTATTTCGCCCATGTGCATGGATAAAGGAGAGCTGCTATAAGAGACACTACGTCAAGTGTTAGGATGTGTGCTAGTTATATCAGAGGAATCTGTTCCACCACCACAAATCAGCCTCATAAAAACCCAAAAAAATCCAGCTATGGAGGATGTAGCCAAGAGAAGTAATTACGTATGGTTTTTCATTAGTAGTTTTTACTGGGAAGCCTACAAAACCTTTATTCCTTCTTCTGTTAGGTATTAACACTGTAAGGTCCAGAATCTCTCCAGTGAATTCAGTTTTTCTCAATATTTTTTGTCTACTGCCCTCCACTTTCCTATGAATTTGCAAGAGCTGTCCACGATGCTTTCCCAGGAGACTGTCTCTGAGCCCTACCTGTCTCTATGAAGTTCACAAACCATTTTTTACAATTAAGACCCATTTAAAAATTTTAGGATGCCATGACTCCTATATGCCCAAATTTAGGTATAGTTATTTGGATAAGTGCCCATTAAAACTGACTTCTTGAATCAGAACTATAAATTAAAATGGAGCTGAATCAACTAATATTCTCACCTTTGCTTCCCATAAGAGTTCAAACGGAGAGTATATCCGTGAAGCAAGAAAAATCCATCTTTCAGAGAAAAAGTACTTTTAAAATGCAGTCTCCTTTCATGCTAAGTTACTAAACTATGAATTAAAAATTCATCTTTGAAAAATTAAATTTATGTCCACTTCACTTATGAAAGAAAAGATATTGTCCTGATAAAATAAATTCAAACTGCTGATTAATTTCTTATAAAGGTAAACATTCACAGTAATTTCTAAATTAACAGCTTTCTATTTACAGTGAACACACTAACTAAAATAATTTACCTTTTCTTGCAGCAGATTGGAAGCTAAAACATGCACCAGAATTAACTAACTATAGGAAAACAAGTAGGGCCCCAAAGCATCATAACTGTCATTAAAAGTTAGAACCCAAGTGATCTGCTTTTGAGAAACTGAAAAGAAATAACTTTTCCCATACTTTCTAGGATTTAACTGAAGTCTCACAGAATGTATGAATGATTAAGAAAAGCTTGAAAATCAGCAAAACCCATGGCATTTTAAATATAAAGTTGATATTTTATTTACTTTTCAAGACAAAAGACTGCTCTTCTTACCTGAAGAACTCTTTTGGTCAGGCCAGTTTTCTGAGCTAGCTGTTTCAAGTCCTTGGCATCAGGATTGTGGTTAATAGCAAAGTATGACTTCATTGTCCGCAACTGGTGGTGTTTGAATGATGTCCTCATGCGCTTTGTTTTTTGATTGCTGGGGTATTGCTGGTCTCTATCCAGGTGGTCACCATCGTTTTCATTGCAACTTAAAGCTTAAGGCAACAAGAGGGAAAGGCGTGTAAATCTATTGCTCTGTGACCAACATTGTTTGCAGTTCATCTGAGTGCAGCAATTAAAATAACATACCATGGCATGTATTGTACTGGTACAAATCCTACTTGCCTTCCCCTCCATTTCTGCATCTTCTATTTTTCCCTTACAATAACCAGCCTGCAAGGACCCTCACCTGCCTCTTTATGGCTTTTAAAATGTCAGGTCTGTTTCCTTTTTTCTTCCCTCCATCTCCACACAGCCTTTCCTCCACTTTCTGCTTGTAGGACAGTAGCTGTCCTCAACTCTGTAAAGTGTTTTAATGTACTTTGTATCACTATAAATTGCATTGTAACGTACAAAGCAAGCTGTACAATACAGTCCACTTAAATCTCGATGGAACAGACCAGTTAAAATTATAATTATTTCCGCCATCAAACTAAACCCTGTAGAGTACAAGAGAGACCATTAAATGAAACACCATAAAAGAAATAAAGTTTGTGGGTACCAGACAGCAAATTATGACTATAATTTGACTAGCTAAAGAAATAAAGCTGTTAATACAATGCATCACTGGCATGCCAAATTAAAAATATCTTTTTAATTATTTAAATGTTTATATTTCCTTTTTTTAAAAAAGTATTTGCAAATACTAGTTTGAATGATCAATTCTGTTCTATCCTTTTGAAATCACTGAATGACACTGATTGATACATTTGCATAAATCAACCGTAAAGCCTGTAAAGGAAGTCTATGAGCAAGGAACATTATAATAATTGTCAAGTAGTATTAAATGTTGAATGCCAAGCAAAATAATCTCATAGACCAAAAGTAGTTTTTCATTTATTTGTGCATACAGTAAACCATAGAAAAACACTTAAAATAACATTAAGGACCGAGCTTAAATCCACTAAATCAGGGATATAACTGAAAATTAGCTCTGAGAAACTGTCATTAATTTGCTTTTTTCTGTTCCAATATCTACAGCTCCCTTTTAATTTCCTTTAAGTTTTATGTTAAAAGTAATGAAAAATGACTACTATCTCTGTTCTATGTTGCCTGCAAAAAATTAGAAAAAAAAATATTTTAAAAAGTGAATTATTGGTGAATTTCTTAAACACATAAACAGATTTGTTTTCAATTGTCCATTACTGCTGGTTCATTACAACTGAGTACATCTCATAGACATGTCTTTATAGTTTTACTCTAAATTCATGCTATCCATCAGAGGTTTTCAGCCCTATTGAAAACATACAAATCCTGAAAGGCGTACATTAAAAACAGTTTTAAAAAATATACATAAAATACATGTACTCATAAGTCAAAATGCATACAGATTCTATAAAGAGCAGTTTTGCAGCATGTACAGTAGCTGCTTTGCAAACTTTAGCTTTTCAAAACCTTCTAAAAAGATAATGGCACAATATAGAGCAAGGCCTGCAAAAATTCAGCTTTAAGACCAAAAGCATGTTTGTTTAATAGATACGTAGAAAGTGTCTGAAGCCCTAAACTTTTCTATGTGTTTCTGTACTCCTATAATTTAAAAAACAGCTTAAAAAAAATGTACTGTATATATAAATGTGTGTGTATGTATGCGTGTGTGCATGCATGTGCGTACATTTGTATAAATCCTTTCCAGACCTAAGTATCTTGTGCCAAATTCTAGCAATAAGAAGCATTTCTGCTTGTTTTCCTGTGGTGTGGAAAGACTGGAAGCACCTGAATTTAAAAGGCTTTAAAGGAGATAGCAAAAATGCAGTATTAATGGAGCTGGATGGAAAGTAGCAAAATCTTTTCTGGTTGAAGAACTGAGATCTGGTTGCCAAACTGGGGTCATCCCACATGCTCCAGTCTCCTTCGTAGCTACAATTCCTGATGTAAAGAATACTGAAACTATATTGCTGATAGCAAATTCTATTATGGAAATGTCAAACCAAGCAGTGCTTGGTTTTAAAATGTACTCACAGAATTTTAGATGTTAGTAATGGAAAAGACCTCTGTGTGTTATCTTAAATGCTTTCAAACCCTCCCAGAAATAACAAGGCAGAGACATAGGAGGAAATGCATCAAAATCTCTGTCTGAAGGACTGAGATCTGTTCATGTTAATATGCAACAAAACAAACCCTAGGGCTGCAAGTGGTTGGATTTTAACTTGTTCCATAGAGAATGAGATACGTTCAGGATCCAAGGAAGTAAAAGTGATTCTAAACCATCCCAGAATGGAATGAGGGTATCAGCTTTTCATCAAGCACTAATAAGACAATGAACAATTTACTCTTTGAATTTCTCATATTTTTACCTCCTCATCTACTAAATAAAAATAGTATTAAAATGACAGTAAACATGTACCATTTGTGACTGGCAAAATATTGTTCTTTTCTATGAAGAAAGTTATAGTAAAGATTTTTTAAAGTGCACGAGGGTGTCTGCTGTTCATTGTCTTGCGCAAGTGCTTTCGGTACCCCCAGGCATCACCCAATATGACATAAATATTCCTGCTTAGTGCCAACTCCCCTCTCGTATTTGGTTTTGGTGCCTGGCACCATCTTCAAAAGCCTGTTATATTAGGTCTAATACTGTATGCATCTCTCTCAGAACCTGAAACGTCTATGGACGTTGCAGACACAGAGATACAGAACGGGCCAAAGGTGTAAGCATGTGGAGGTTTTAAGTGCTGAGGAGTTTCTGCAAAAGGCATCATGGTGTAAGACCAACACTGTAGGTGCTCCTCACGCAACCCTCAGTTCTTCAGGCACTTCCTCCCTGTTCCTTTGTGGTGTCCCCATGTATCTCCCAAAGGAATTGTTGAACTATCCATGTGTAAGATTTCCATTCAATTTCCATTCCAGCATCTAGAGCTCCTGCTGGGAGTTCAGAAATACAATTGGTAAAATTCTGGTCGAATAGAGGAGTCTTAAATTAACTAATGTTTCATTCCTATTTTGTGATAAAACAAATTCCGAAGTGGTGCCAACTCTCTTTTTTTGACCCTAGAACATTTCTAAGGCCCTTGCGCCTTTCCCCAGTCCCCATGTCCAGGCCATTGCCCTCCTGTCCTTCGGCTGGTCTCACCAGTGGCCAGCTCTTACAGCCTCCTCCATTAGCACCACGATCCAAATGTCCACTTGGCCACAAGATGGTGATGTCCACGGAGAGCATCACCAGAACCTAAGATTACAACATTGTATTTTGGTATTGGTGACCAAAATATCCTCAGCAGGATAATGCATAATACCATCTCTAAAAACAGCAACATGAGTGTAAAGCAGGACATGCTGTTGTTATCTTTGTAACAAATGCTATTTGAAGAAGAAAACTTGGGAGCACTGTTTCGCAGTCAGATCGTCAGATCATCCCCCCAACATGTCAGGATTCGGGGCAAAGCACACGCTTAGTAGTTAGTAGGTCGCTAAGTACATGGCACATGACGAAGATGGCAAAGAGGAATTTCCTTTGGGGGAACTTTTGTTCTTAGTAGCTTGTGTTTGACATGTTAAATTACCCAAAAAGAAAGCAAACTAATCCTGATTCCGAAAGAACGATGAAACAAGAGACACATTTGGTGCATGCATCAGCTCTCCATATTCAGTGGCTCAGGAACATACTCCCCTTTCCTTCTGTAATAAGAGAGTCAAGGGGGTGTTTTAACCTTCTGCTGCCTGGAGAGGGAACTTGTGATTAACCAGGCTGGGCAGGGGTGCAGCCTTAATTGTTGTTTGCAGGAGTGTGTAAAGGACTTTGTGGGACCCGCATCCTTGAAGGGGACAAAAGTGAGACAGAGCCCTCTGAACCGTACTTGGGACAGGAACAGAGACAGAGTCTTTCTCCCTGGTGGAAGGAGAAGACAGTTGGAGAAGGCGGACGCCTGAACTCCTCACCACAACTGGGATTGAAAGGGGTGAAGCTGCGGCACTTGGAGCAGGCAAGGTCCCCTCCCTGCTACCGAAAGGCAGCATCGGAAGGAGGGTCCCTCTGCCCAGCCCTCGGGGCAACAGGCGCAGAAAGCGCTGCCTCAACCTTGACATTTCAAGAGGCGTTTTTGGAAGAGGGGGAGGCGGCCCGTCTCAGGGAGCGGCCGTATTCCGGGCTGAGCATCACAAGGCGCCGAGAGAGGAGGAGAGCTGGGATTAGGAACCCTCCTTCCCGAACCGGCCTTCCTCAGCCTCCTCGGACAAAAGGGGCTGCGTGTCCCGCTGCCTCCCGGGGGTCCGGGCCGCCCCCCCGCCCCGGGGCCGCGGTGCCTCTAGGGGGAGAGAGTGGCCCGGGCCGGAGAACAAAGGGTCCGGAGAGGGGCCGCGCCGGGCCCCGGGGTCTGCGGGAGGAGCCAGCGGCGGAGGGGGAGCTTTTTTTTTTTTTTTTTCCCCTCAATTAAGCCAATTGAATGGCGCTGAATAGCCGGTGCGAGTGCGCGGTAATTCCCTGAGCGCCGCGATTAACCCGGGCAGCCCCGGCCGAGCCGGGCTCCTCTCGCTGCCCGCCGGGCCGGGGGAA